ACTTCTAGAAGAAGGCACTCATTTTTTGCACTACGGATGGCACACACACACATTTTAGCAGACGGATCTAGGATAATTTAAGAAGTCTAAAGATCCCCTTACACCGCAAGGAATTGGGCCCACTTCCAAACAGTTAAAATAGTAAAAGGGCAAAATATAAGAATATGTTTATTTGCATGATTGTATCTTTCTTGATCTAGAACTGAACAAACGTATTTATTATCAACGCCGTGGTCTGAATTTTTGTCCTTGTGTATTATAGTTACACAGAACTACTGGAACATAATTACGGAAAACCTTAAGGTTACATCCTAAATTTTTAGGAACTTCAGACTTTAGGAAATGCAAAATATCATCAGGTTGTTTAACTATTCATTCATGTCACCAGCCATTTTTATGTGTAGATCAAAACATTCAAAAGAGATGAGGCTTCATAAGTTTTTCCGGCAACTTCTTTGTGGACCAATAGTGTATTTATTTTATTCTATGCGAAATGTTTTGTTTCGTAATTTAATAGCGTTTATCATGCCGCTGACTTGCCTACAGAGAGATGAAATGCGAGACCGTTGCTACTGTTGAAACCCCTCCAGTTCCACTTTGCATGCCTCTTGCTTCGACATCTCCAAAATCCCCGCATGTAATTTTACCACATTCTACTTTCAGCTACTGGATATATGAAGCCATGGATCACATTCATACATCCTTGAGATGCAGACTTAACTTTTAAATATATTTTACACTTAGAAGTTCTGTATTATTTTGCAGTTTAGCGTCCTCTTTACTAATGTATTTCTATATTCTGTTTGTTGTTACCTTTCTATATTTATTACTGTGTTCGTGTGCTCATCTGTGCGTAATTGGCCTTCTGGTTGTTGATACAGCACACTAATAATAAAGAATTGAATTGAATATCGGTACTACCAAGACGTAAGTCTGGTACAAATCTCTACAACTAAAGACGACGAACAACCAAGCAAGAGAAGACAAACATCTCTGTTAATTTTTGCATCGTAATCCACTCGTACCAGGGCAGAGATTCGACTTAGATACGGGCCATCTTGACTAAAGCTTTTCGTGATTTTACGCAGTTCCTGTTGACAAATGCTGGAATACCGTTCATTTAGAATCACCCTGTCATTTTCAGCTTCGTAACTTGTGCTGTTGAAAATATGCCATTAAATAATCCACGAGTTGGTCAACAAAAGGAACAGGAGAGCTGAAAACCTACGTGACAATTAAGCTGAATAGAAAAGTGCTCTCCATTCGTGGGTTGGAGATTATTTTTGTACGACGTTACAAGGCTTTTGCGATTGTATGGTTTGTCAGTGCAAACAGACGCCATAAATTTGATCGTGATAATGACAGTAACTGCATTTAAAGTTACGCATGCGGTTAATTAACTCCCATGCATCGCTAATTGTGCCCCTCTTTTCCAGATAACGTACCCACAGTTGAAGCTAACATGAAGATTTTTGCTGCCATGTATAAGAAAGAAGACTTGGTTTTATTAGTGACAACATTTTTCAACAGGTATATCAAATGCTGTAAGTTGCACGTTATTAATTCATGGAGTTATAAAATGCTGTACACATTTGGATACACTAGGAATTAATTCCACGTATCCTCTGTGAAGTTTTTGACCATATTCTGACCTAGCTAAATCCGGTCTATGGACTCACACCCCATTCTGTTCTACTATTATATTTCCATCTACGTATGGATATGTTCCTGTGATATTTATTGACTAGAATTATGCCCCACCTGTACGATGGACGTCTTTCCTACAGCAGGGGCTCCCAATAATATTACTTTCACCAAGTCCATCGAGTCGGGGCTAGCTTCCGTTTCCGGTGGCGGGCCGCGGGGTTCTCGTGCATGTTCTCCCCGTCGCTCCAAGTAGTCGAGGTCGAGTTCTGCAACATAAGAGCATCGACGACGTTAAATTAGTTTCTTCCACCTATAAAAAAAAGGGGAGCCGTATCATTGCTAGAGGAGAGGAGACGCTGTCTACCTCTCTATCGGTAAATTACAGTAGAACACGTAAGATTTGAGGTTTTCACAGCGGTGAGTATGAAGATTTCTGTCTTCTGGGTTGTTGCGCTGTGTAGTCTGGTCGATGTTTACCAACGTTTCTGAGGTCATACTGCCTCCGTCATCAGGGCGATTCATTGCTAGAAGAAGAAAATCTTTCCCCTAGTAGGAACCGAAGCCAGGTTGTCCAAACCCATAACCTGAAACGTTGGCAAACATCTACCATACTACACAGCGCAACCCAAAAGACAGAAATCTTCAACAGTAGAACGCTTTTACGTCCGGCTTTACCCGCTACAGCGCTGTGTTTTGTTATCCTGCTGTGATTTATACCACATTCACACGCCTTTATTTTAGTTTTTAACGAAAAGCAGTTTTCTTTATCGGTTAAGAAATTGTGCAGTTTTGAAAGCATTTATTTTTTGCAATTAAAGAACACGTTGATCACAGTGTAAACGGACTACGTATGTAACTTTCATTTATTTATAGTGATAATTAAAAATATAACAAACATTGCTAAGTACGTTGCTTTCTCATGTCTGCATAACGCGTCAAAAGAAATAAATAACTCCAGAACGCTTTATAATTATATTCTGCGATGTGAGACTTAATGCAGCATTATTAACGGTATTTTGTGTACAATGAAATTTGTTTAGAATTATTAAAGTTTTTATGATGACGCTATTATATAAAAGTGTTTTTAACTTTCAAGTTGTCATTGTTTATGTGACAGTTGTGGAAAACGTAAACACAAAGACATCTTTTGAATCGATTAGCCATTAGAGGATTATCCGACAGAAACTTGTTTTTGTGTTAAAATCACAGTTTCTTTATTTTCAGTTTCCCTCTATTCTCCATATAAAAATACTATATATCCGCAAGGATTTGGAATATTTTCATAATTTTCAATCTTTACCAAATGTCATTAGGGTGAAAGGATAAGATGAACTGCACATGTAACACGAACGGGTCAGTTGAGAATGGCATACACAGTGTTAAACGGATAACCTGAAAGGAAAAGACCAATTGGGAGTTCAGGACATAGATGGAGAACACTATTAAATTTAATCTTGAAGACTTTAGGTGGAATATATTCAGCTAGATCGGGAAGGGGTCCAGTGGCGAGCTCTTGTCAACGCGGTAAGGAACGTTTGGATTCTGTCAAAGGCTGCAAACTTCTTGGTCAGCTGAAAAACTATTAGCTTCTCATTGATGAGCCTGTTGTTTGCAGCCTTGAGCATTGACTCGTCAAGAATTTAAGAAGAAATGTACGTGATGTATTTTACAGAATTATCTGAATACTGAGGAGTGTTTCAATGACGAAAACTGTTGTTAGTGGTCGAGACAGTAATTAGGCCAAAACACGATTGTCTAAAATAAGATATGTGTTGCTTATTGTTGGAAAGTATTCAGGTAGATTCTTCTAATTACAGCGTGACTAGATTATAACAGCTTCTTATCCCCAATACGGAAGCTTTCTATGAGAGTTTGCTACTGTTTTGTATATCCTTTGCCTTGAAGTTCGCCATCCTTTCCTATTCCGATCCAGTTCAATCGATTTCTCATCGTCTCGACTTATTTCCCCAAGGCACTGTTTAATATTATCTATCTCCTCCTCGTCCTTCCATCGCCACTACATACGTGATTTTCTCGTGTAACCATATTCTGTGTGGGATTTCGTAAATTTTTTGTAGGCTACTAGTAGTTAGTCTCTCTCGTGGTCGGCCTGTCTCAGCCTCCTTCGTTTATCACGAACATGCAAGGTAAGAGAATGTTCCATAAATGGACTCGTTACGTGATTTTATTCTTCACTTCTCTGTTCCACCATTTATCTTAGGCCGAATTTCGGAATCAACTTTCTGAAGACAATAAATGTACACTCCTTTCTCAGATTCAAATCCATGAAATGGAGTTGGTAATTTGTAATCTCATATAACACATTGCTGTTCTGAAACGCTTAATATTCCGTAGTGCTACCAGATATTGGATATTATTTTTTATAGATCATTAGCTCTTTTTGGTAATACCAACACTTCGTAGACGTCGTAAAGTAAAGAACGAATCGGTTGACACTATGGTAACATACCTGATTCGTATTCTGGAGGTAATAGGTTCGACTCATGACTTGAACGCCGGTTCTAATTATTGAGGTTACTCTTGGATTTCCTCAACCCTTCAAGCGAATACCTGGTTACGAACCCACGACCGATCTCTTTTCCGGTAATAATTTTATGTCTTAGTCAACGTCAAATAATATCTGCGTTTGACGCAGCGTCGTTAATTAGCCCGACGACAGCAATCTAGGTCTAAAAGGCGACGTACTTTGCTTCGATGAAGAGAGTCTGACACGTGTGTTTCCGGCTGTGACGTTTATGCCATTTTCTCACTCAACGCGTTGGTTAATTTGCTGGTGAAGAGACAGATGGTCGGTTGTGCCTTGGGAGGCATCTGGCTGGGCCCGGAGCAAGCCTCAAAGCAGAAGTTTCAGTTTCGGTCTTCGTGACAGCAAGGGGTTAAAGTTAAAACTCAAACTTTAGGGGAATGGATGCACAATTCCCAGCAACGCGGCAGCGATTATAACATACTAAAGGCACGTTCGTAATATTTTGTCTCAGTAATTTGTCATGATGTTTTTAAATTTGAAAAAATTGTTTATTTGGGGACGAGAGTTACAAATAAAAATTAACTTACGACAAAACTAAGGCAATAATATCAGGAACTACGAAGAAACGCTAATGTTTTTATCATTTTATTTCTGGATCTCGTTTCTACCTGAGACAAATGACAGGAGATTACAGAAATTTACATAACAAGAAACAACGATTTATTCCCTTTACTTATTACTGTTACGTAGCCTGTCTTTAAATGAGGAGAGGGTGGATGAAGAGTTTATAATAAGAGCATTGTAGCTTGTTTCATAAATGAAGAATTAGACAGGATAAGGAAGGAAGAGATCGTGGCCTGCTATCCCGTCATTTGCCTGGAGGGACTGAAAATCCACAGAAACGCTCAGGCAGAATGTATGTGTCAGCGAGTGTTACTCCGCCCAATACGACTGCTTGAGCTATATTAAAAAAACATAATTAACATTTTGCTTAAGTACTTTTAAAATAATAGGCTGCATGTTCTAGCTTCAATTTTTGAAAATGGATTTAAAATATTCTTTCGTGATTTTCGAATCGCGTTGCTCACTTTGCCATCTCTTCCCGTTCTCTTCGCAGCAGGATTTATTTTTCACGTCAGTGTTGTTCCGTTTCCCCTTATGCTGTGAACATTTTCCTTTTGATACTTCTGTCTCTCGCTCTGTTCATTTGCTTGTCCGATCTTGCCATATACGCTTCCTTCTTCATTTGTGTTGTGTAGGTTTTTCTTGGTGATATTTTGTGCATCGGGTGCTTACTTATAGCTTTGTATAGTTAAAATTAGTACAAAGTAACTTCTGTACTATGTGAGATTTTAGATTTTCAAGGCGACGAGTGTGAAGATGGTTGTTTACTTCTGGGATGTTGACCCTGGAACGTCTTTCAATATCTACCCGACAACACGGCGCGACATCCCAGGAGACAAACATCTTCAACTTATATATTGTTAGTTAATTATTAGTTGTGATATTGGATTTTACGTGTTACTATAAGACGAAGGTCCCTCGTCATTGTGCAATATAGCATCTTGAATATTACGTAAAGAATGTTTAGCCCTGCGATGGGAGTATAACGCTTTGAAGCCCGAAGTCCATGTAAGTAATATTTGAAATTTCAGTTTTTACCTCAACGAAACACAAGTCTCGATTACAAATATCATTTTGTTTGTGTTTAAGGAAATAATCAATGTTTTTTGTCCATTATTCCACTACTCTGTAGTAGACCGGGATCGGGCTTATATTTTCTAAGAGTTATTATTTTTTATTACTAATTTTAACTTGTTTTTGCTTATGGTATGAAGCTCCTAACTTCGAAGAATGTTTACCCGGTAACGCTTCTCTATCAAAACTTGCAGTGAGAGGAAAAGGGATTGGACTCTCAAGTAGGTGTTGCAGATTATGACTTAACGTCTATTTCACTGAGATGTAAACCCACTTTCACTTGTGTATACAGCGGTAATTGCTAGATTATCATCAACTTCCACTCCCGAAACTATATTCTATGTAGGTTACGCCTAACTGTCAGTGCCAATTACCGAATCCACATAATGCTCACTAAGGAGACAATTCTGTCCGTTGGGAACCAGAACATCGTTAGGCTTCTGTTGGTTCTGAGCCATCAATTACTAACACCCGACGTCACTAATTACATCATTGGTTGTCCCTGGATATAGCTCCTGTTGGTCACAAAATTGAGAGCAGGAGAGGTATGTGGCGTGGCGGGAATTACTCAGGGACAATTTGGCAGTCCGTTTTAAACCCATACGGTCGCCATGCACGGACGCACAAAATAGAAAGAGTTTCAGCATGAGAGGGCCCTTCTGTTACGTAGGGACTTGGAAAACATGTTAAAGAAGGATAAATTCGGTAGGAACTCGTAGGCTAAGAAACTACCTCGGGCTTTCCTAAGACACAGCACGTTCCAATGTTTTCCGTTCGGTAATGGGTGCCAAGCCGTGGTTATCGAACCGTTGGTGGTGCATTAAATATTTCTTAGAGTGAGCCTGTATAGCATCGGCTGATACATTACGATTTCTTCAGCGAAGACAGACCTTTTTCCCACTTGCAACTGCATCTACATAGTCTAATCTATTTAAATAGATAAGCTACTTCAGACAGTCCATTACGTGGTAAATTCCGCAACAAAAAATGTGAATACAATTTAGCAGTCATATCTGTTAGTTTCGAGCACTTAAAGAGAACCACACGAAAATTGCCATTTAAGGTCGAAACATGTAGTGGGACTAGACGGACTCTCAACCTAACGAAGACTGACTTAAGTTATAGACCTGCATATAGCAGCCCGTGTTGAACTGGCAGTATTAGTATTATTGTTTGTTACATTGATCCCCTTTAAACTGTGCATAGTTGCGTCGCACTTGCTAGTGGTTTAGAGGAATTTCATAAATATGGCGCAGAATAATTGTGTATCGTGCCGGAATGATGGAACAGAGATACATGGTGAACGGCTCACAGCAGTAAAACTGGGTGCTTGATAAAGAGGACCGTATTTAGGAATTTTCTCATACATATTAATTTTCAAAAGAGGAACTATTACTGCTTCTAATAATATTTATACACTCGGTGGTTCAAAGTTAATGCCGGACAAACTTGATCTTCGCCGAACAGTTTATAACTTTATAATCTCTAAAAATGAATCCGTAATGCATGAGCACAATTCATTACAGTAAGGTCACAATCAGAATCATCCACGAATAGAAGACGTATTTAATTTGCATTAAAATAATTAATCTGACTCATTCTTTTCACTTCGTTGATCGATTTACAAAATCAAAAATTACCGTAGTCAAGAGTGTAATTATAAATAGTTAAAGTATGCTTAATTTGATGTGTAATATATAAATATATGTACGTACATGGACAGTTACTCAGTTAGGCAGAGCCCTATAATCCTCTACAGTGTACTGAGGTTTGTTGCTTGGTTTTCTTCTTCTTAGAATACTGATATGCGTTGTTAGGTTTAGAAAAATTATGTGTTTTCTAATTGTGACTTGTTCCACGTTCAGCGTATTAGGATTTATGGAATTCATCGAACTATTCATCTATATCTATCTGTCGTCCCGTCTAATTATTATGGGCTGTCCTTACTGAAGGTTATCGTGATTTTTTCCAGTCTTTCCAGCTGAATGAAGGAGGCCAAATCATGATAAAAGCTACAACTCCTTCCTTCCAAATCCATACCTACTTTACATCTCACTCAACGCTCTGAGAAGTATGCTGTAAAAAAAGTCTCTTTAAGTAGGCTTAGGCTCATGATGCTGCATCTTTCCTTATTAATTGCTGTCACAGTAAGTAGCTATGTAAATCACAGACCACATTCTCTTCTTTCATAGTCCGATTTATAACCATTTAAAGTTGTATTAGGCGGGAAATGACAGAGGCGGACAAGTGAGTTATTACTTTCACACGGATTATTACCAAACCTGCCCCTCAAGTGCACAGGCTTAAGCGATAATGTGCGCATATGGAGCCTGGGACGTGAACAGACGATGAAAGTAAAAATGTTATATACTGATGGATAACAACATTTTAGATAAAATTAAATGTGTTTAAAATAATCTAGTTTCAATAACGCTTCATGAACAGAAAAACAGAGGAGAAATATTTCCTTCTTTATTTCCTAAATAAACTTGTCATCGGGACGGCAATGCACGCAGTTCGTGGCCAGTGGCCTTGAAATCCGAGGTCGGCTGACTGCCTTGCTTCTTTCCAGGAAACTAACCATAATTCACTCGCTGGCTCCGGTCAGTGGCACAATGTTCTTCGAGCAGTGCAGTGGGAAGTGCATCAGTGGAAAATAGAGTGCAGTGCGCGAGTAGTGGTCAGAAGCAGGAGAATTTTCTTACGAAACAATTTCCGAACGTTACGTGAAGGGCCTACACACTACACCAGCCGCTTGTACGTTATTAATTTGCTAAACGGGTTTCAAAGAGTGAAGTTCAGTATTTTTTAAACTGGCCGAAGTGATTTTTCGATGGGTGATGTAACACGCTCAGCCATCATTTCTCTGTCTGCATCTAGATTGAATTTTTTTTATTTTCTGACAAGAGTTTCATACCCTTGTGTCTTTAAATTTATTTGGACAATTCACTTTTTAATTTCCAAAGAACCGCCAAACTTCAACACAGTCTAAGTAATTCCGACCAAAAGTATTCGCTACTCTTTGTTCATGCTATGCCAATTGTATCAATTGGTATTTGCCTAAGTATCAACATACACGACATATATACGCATGCTAATACTAGTGATTAAATGGAAAACACAAAGACCTTTTCATTTCGCACGCTGATTATGCGATCAATCAATTAATTAATCAATCAATCATTCAGTCAATCACTATCACACTGCACAACCACGGCCCATTGTTTTCTCATGCAGGCTAGTGTCCAGTATGGGCCCCATTAGATTAACTCTCTTCACTCTTTTGACCAATTTATAGAAGACAAACGCATGGTATTTCATGCAGCACAGTGCTAAGGCCCACATAGCTAATGTCTATGAATTCGTTAACTGAATTTTTCTGTGAACTAGTGATAAGGAGTGTGGCTTGCTGGCTGACCCATTTAAAATGCTTTATATTTTTATTTATAAGGCAAATTAAAATATAAAGTGTGCGCGAATAATAATAATTCTCATTACTTACGATAGTATTCGGCAGAAAATTTCTGTTATTCTAAGACGACAACTCTGTGTGTATAGAAACATTTTTATCAAGATGTGACACCAGCTCAGAAGCTGAAGGTCGTCACTTCGAGACTCTGCTTAGAACTAAGGTAGGCGATACTGTAGGGCGAAATCGAGCAGTTTATGTCATAGTCGGTTTCTACTGCTTAGCTAAGTCGAAAGGTAACACCGTGTGGGACCGGATTCATGATAAACTGGCCACTCTATACTTCTGCGTATCGTATAGGCCAGTAAACTCTTCCCTACCTGAGAATCAAAAGCTTATAATTCATGGTCATCCTACAATAAGTCAGCCTCGTTAATTTGTCACGTTGTCGTAAGTGGCCCAGTCCGACAGAAAGAATGTATACATTTCATTCTTGCCATCATTTGTAAGGAATGCTTGACTTGTCACTGTGAAACACAGAAGTGAAGCTTATTTTTTCTTACATTTGTGTGTCTTCATGAGATTTTAGGTTTTCTCAGCGGCGAACATCTTTTCGATTTTATTGTGTTGTCTGAGTTATGACACCATCTTGTCTTGTAGGTTATGAACGTCCAGAAGAACTAGTCGCCTCCATCTTTAACCGAAAAGTTGGTAACTACCTTAAAAGTACATGGAATCATAACCGAGGAGGCCACAATCCAAATCTGCGTCTTCAAATATAAATTTTAATGTGAAAAATTAGTTTTAAAGAAAAATATCCTATAATACCAACACGCGAAACATTTCCCTGTTTGACAGGACTACAAATGGACTTGGATCCATTACAATATCGCGTCGTGCATACTTACTGCTTTAGGGAGCCTGTGTTACAAATTATCTAAAACGGAAAGTTTGGTCAGTTATAGACGATAATTTGCGTGCTAGCAAACGGACAGACATTGAATACCCTCTAGAACTAGCTTTCCCACTTAAAAGTGCGTAATATCTGAATCATCCGTACTCCATTTATCAGTGTAATATTACAATATTGTATTGTATTTGATGTGAAGCTTTCACGGCGACTTTATAAATATAATATTTGTGTTAATTAGACGAAAGATACGCTGTCACGAGTCCAGATTAACTTTTCGAGGGGTGACAATATCTGCAATCAGCGCTACTGATGGCCTGTTTAACATATCAAGCGATATATAAGCCAATTATTCTCCCAATATCAACATAAGAGCTCTAATTACTGAACACATTTATCAAGATGTTCGTTTAATTTTGTCAGGACATCACCATAGCAACGTCTCAGATGACACTTGGAAATTCATCTCTCGTGATACTTTGAAGCAATCTCATCAACTCTTGATTGAACTTCTGTAGTTAGTGGCAGAACAAATGAAGTGTGTACAACGTCAGAAACCATGTTTCATTAATTACAATTAGAACATTGTTGATACAATAATAATAAGGATGTTGTTTGCATAACAGCTTTTGATACATATTGAGGCCCAATAGGAGAATGGGAATAGTTGTATAACTAGGAACTTTTATATTTTGTAGGCTTGCTCTTCGCCCAGTATTATGTGGGTACAAACGAGATGGCGGGCCATGGTGGAAACAAATTGATGCGTACTTTTATGGAATCTAATGGGACCGCTTTGAATATGCACGAATATATGGGACTTCGAGATTTTGTATTGAACTCAGGACTACATTCTTACTGTCATAATTCATTTGATCTATTACATATGTATAAACTCTCACAGTTTTCGAAAACATTAATTGATTATTTGAAGCTGGCTGTCTTCTGGGTTGTTGCGCTGTGTAGACTGGTCGATGTTTACCAACGTTTCTGAGGTCATACTGCCTTCGTCATCAGGGCGATACTTAGTATGAAAATTTCTGTCTTTTGGGTTGTTGCGCCGTGTAGTCTACACAGCGCAACAACCTAGAAGACAGCCATCTTCAAATTCACCGCCGTGAGAACCTCAAATCCTACAATTAATTGATTATTTGCATAATTAAAAACGATGTTTCAACCGAAAATATTTTGCTTATGTATCCATAAATGAAGCAGAATCATGGTATGAATGATAACACGTCAGGATTTGAAGACAGGCGGTCGAGCCGAATACGTCCATGTACATTTAACCGATTGTTCCTAAAACACTTTTTAGCCCATATACGTGTATACAGACCATTGGGGTATCCTGATCTAGAAATCAGGTCATGTGGAAATGCAGTATTATTAAATCTTTCCAACGGTCTCGCCGCAATGGTGATGTATAATAGTAATATGCCGCTGCTGTGTTATATAATACATTTATTTTATATTAATCCAGTTTTAGTCGCCTGGTGGCGCATTGCTAGCCAGAGCAGAGCATTTGACACTAACGCAAACATTATTTTCGGTCGGCGAACAGAAATACGTATCTAGCATCATTATAGATAAAACATATCATAATATCATTGCAGACCGGCCTACCCATTTAGCTGTGAACTGAATTCTCCTTCACATTTATCATTCTGACACAAATTATCAAACACAAATATTGTAATGTTGCTGCTCAACATGTATCTGCAACGGCAAACTTTTAAAATTATCC